CTTATCTCCGGTGCCAGACTGAAATAAGTCAATAAGTCGTTTTGATAAGCAATCCCAAACACCCCCTAAATATGCCATATATTTCCTAGTCTTTATAAATTTGTCATATTAAACCCCCAATTTTATATGGTAGCAATTGGTAAATGGGTGGGACGAGGCTCGGGAAAAAATTGACCCAAATAGCTAATTCACTCGTAACCCAGCACAACCCAACCTACAATTAACAGGTTGGGTTGAGATTTTCAATTCATTTTAATAAATGAGTTAACTTGTTTAAACCATTTAAATAAATAGGATGGGTTGGGTTGGGTTGTGTTGAATTTTTCGACATGTTTTCAACTTGTTTTTAACCTGTTTCTAACTCATTTAAAATATTACATAATTTTATTTTATTCTTAATATTATATTTAGTATTCTAATTTTTAATTTTATTTTATTCTTAATTAAAAATCCTACCGAGATGAAAGTCCAAATTTCAATCGCTTCCATTACTCTTAATCATCATGAAACCTTAAGAAAGCCCTTTAGTCCATTACTCCATTATAGCCTCCAAACTTTAGGATTGGTGAAAATGGAAGTCGAATTACTTATAATTTAAAAATTTCCAATTTATTTTAAACAATATATTTGTTGTGGTTGTATTTTATTCAAACTTTGAACAATTTAATTGTATTTGTGGTTGTGTTGTGTTTTATACAAAAAAAAATAGTTTGGTCCTTTTTTATTTAAGATTTTAAAATTAAATGGGCCAACTCATTTATTTAACATGTTGGTTAAGAAAATCGTAAACAGATCAATCCGCTGTCAACCCATTTAGGTAACAGATTAGGTTGGCTTGAAATATCTCAACCCGTTAATTAAATGAGTTGGATTAGGTTGAGATTTTCAACTTGTTTAATAAATGAGTTGAACCCGAATCCAACCCAACCTGACTCATTGTCACCCTTAGATGGAACTGTTAAGAATGGCAATGGGTCGGTTTTAATGTCTTCGTCCCCAAAACCGTTAATCATAACCATTTCTGTAACTGTCTCGATCTCCGTCGGGATTTTATCGGGGATTCTCATTAGGTTCGTGCAGTTTCCCTCATCCTTGTTCAGGACGTTAAGGATAAAAATCACTGTTACCCGTTGGTTATACCCGAAACCGAACCTGAAACCAATCTGAAAAACGCAAATCTCTCAAACAAAAAACAACTTAGGACTAAATCATGATAAGAACTAGGAAATAGGAATCAAAGTTAGGCCTTTGGTTTGGGTTTGGGCTTTCACATTATAATCTCTTGTATATATTTTTCCCAAATGGATTTTAGGCAAAGTATATTATATATATAGGGGCCTAATCAAATGAGAACTAATTAGTTTGTGATGACTGTGAGAACCAATATTAACCACAAATCAATAGATAAATTAGGAAATTTATAATTTTGGCAATTTTGAATTAAAGTATTAATGCAAGGATATTTTTGGTATTTTAAAACTTTCCTCCCTCCTCTCTTCTCTCTTCGGCCACCGTCTTCCAGCCACCGTCCTCCGGTGATACTACAATGGTATCACAATGCATTATGTGTTTGGGTATCACATTGATGTCGTTTGTGTGGTCGATCGAAGATGTAACACAGTGGTATCACTATGCATCTTATATATGATTAGGTATCACAATGTATCTTTTGTTTAACAGAGTCAATATTTTTAGGTATCACAATGTATCTTTTGTTTAACAGAGTCAATATTTTTAGGTATCACAGTGTTATCATAGTGGTATCACAGTGGTATCATAGCGGTATCACCGGAGGACGGTGGCCGAAGGACGGTGGCCGGAGGCCGGAGAACGGTGGCCGGAGAGAGAAGAGAGGAGAGAGGAGAGTTTTAAAATACCAAAAATATCTTTGCATTAAGATTTTAATTTAAAATTACCAAATTTATAAATTTCCTAATTTATCTATTGATTTGTGGTTAATATTGGTTATCACAGTTACCACAAACAACTCAGTTCTCCCTTGAATAGACCCCTATATATATATATATATATATATACTAGTTGTGTATCCGAACAATACGGCGAGATTTAAAAGATTTACTAAGATTTATTCAATTTCGAAATATCAAATTATTTCGAGATGTCATAAGCCTACAACATTTATAGCAAAAATAGATTCAAATAACTATCAAATTATTAGTAGTTTCTGCAATCATCTATAAAAAATCTTTTATATGAAATGTGTATACCCTTTTATAATTGTAATTATATGTGTGAGGAATAAGATTAAAAGTGACAATCCTTTTCTAAAGCAATATATCAAAAATATCCAAACAGAATGATTAACAATTACAAGATCATTAAACTTTTTGGGCCATTCCTAATCCTAAGTGATTTTTTATTCAAAATGATTAGCAATTACAAGATCATACAAGACCAAATTTTATAAAAAGAATGTGTCAACATCGTCATTATACAAAATGAGAAATATGTTTTGAATGAGACTTAACTCGACATCATAATATATCTTTCAGAACCCAATACAAAATGAGACTTGATTCAACATTTGTGACGTGTATTAATTCGACACAACACCCAACATTCTTCAGCAAATTCTCTTAAAGATTTTTTAGATTCATATAGCTTTGCCTCTACGCCTAGGATTCTCATTCCCTTCGATAAACAAAAACCATACTGAATGCTACTATTCTAACCGTTCTGGTCTTTCTCCTCCTTTTACTCGAACCCGTCTTCTTTTACTTCTCATTAGCAGACAAACGATAAAGGATGTTTACTTCTCCAAACAAAGCACATTAAAAAAGCATGATCATTAATACAACAACATAGTAAAAGGTAGACCCAAAAAACGCACATGTGAACTACACTTTGTTAATGGCAACTTTTCTTGTGTTCTTTTTCAAGTTTGAATTGGTGGATAAGAGTAAGGAAGCTACATAAAAAAACCATGCTCACCCTTCACATGGACAATGGACAATGGACTCCACTTATATGGTCTTCCTCATGTGCCTGCTTATTGTGGAATCTGTATGGTAGTTTCACGTAACCAAATTGTTGCCATTAACTTAAAAAAAAATCGAATAAGAACAAACGATAATGGGTGTTTACTTCTCCAAACAAAGCACATTAAAAAGCATGATCATTAATACAACAACATAGTAAAAGGTAGTCCCAAAAATGCACATGGGAACTACACTTTGTTAGACTATCTTTATTCACAAACCAAACGAAACCAATCTTTATTAAAAAATTAATTTCTCTCTCTTCCACCTACCCAAACTTTAATTCCAATCCAATTTTTTTTTTTTCATACTTTATTACAATCCAAACCAATCTTTAAAAATATATTATAAAATTATATATTTATATTTTAGAATATATATATATATATATATATATCTTTTAACTTTAAATAAAAAATAAATAAAATTAATTTCATATTTTAATACNAAAAAATAACATAGTTAATTATTTAAATGAAGTACGAAATTACATAAATATAAAAAGAAAGAAAATACAGAAGGAAGTACAAAATTACATATATTAAAGAAGGAAATAACATAGTTAATTATTAGGGCCAAATTTTTGCCATATATGCTCAATTAAATCATTTTTTAGAGSGKTATGAGCTTCCCTATTGCGAAGTTGTTCCCTATTAGCCATATACCTTGATAGGYTTGCAATTCGTTCAACGGAGAATCCAGGCAGCTGACTATCATCTTCTACGGAGCTTTCTTGTTGTCGATTTGTGAGCATGTCGTTAAGAAATTCAGTAGGATCATAATAATGGAGATATGTATCTCGTTCGTCTTCAACAATCATATTGTGCAAGATATTACAGGCAATCATAATTTGTCCCATATTATCTTTGTCCCAAACAAGACATGGATGTCGAAGAAATGCAAAACGAGCTTGTAGAACTCCAAATGCTCGCTCAACATCTTTTCTGACACCCTCTTGATGTTCGGCAAATAACTTATGCTTTTGGATTTGGGGAGACGTAATTGACTTGACAAATGCAGCCCATGAAGGATATATCCCATCAGTGAGATAATATGCCCTATCATTTTCACGACCATTCACGATATATGTAACTTTTGGTGCTCGACATGCTAATATATCATCAAAAATAGGAGATCGGTGAAGTACATTAATATCATTTAACAAACCTGGTGTTCCAAAGAAAGTGTGCCATATCTATAAATCAAATGATGCGATGGCTTCCAAAATGATTGTTGGTTTTCCACTTCTTCCAGCATATTGTCCTGCCCATGCGCTGTGACAATTTTTCCATTGC